CCTGACTACTGAAAACACTGTAGGATTCAGTTCTTAACACACCTGAGGTTGCCATGAGGTGGAATCAATTGGGTGGTAACTCAAAACCAAACAAAAAGTGAAGAAAATGGGAAAGATCTTTTGTGAAAAACAATATATTCAAACTTTAAAATCAGAATAATATAAAAACAAAACAAGTCAAATGAACAAAAAAAAAACAAGCTAAAATGAAATTTCACACTCACTGCTACCAAGTTAATACCAATTTATAGTGATCCTATCTGTCGGATTTCTGAGGTTGAAAGTCTTAATAGGAGGAGACTGTGTTTTTCCTGTGGAACAACAGGTTGATTAGAATCATAGACATGGCATTTTGGTCAGCAACCTAAAGACGAGATCACTGGAGCTCCTTAGATAAATGATAAAAGAGAAATCTTTGTTTTGATTTGCCAGAGCTCCTAACAACTGCAGTGGTCCTGCCACCAGCTCATGTACTTTTGAAAACTTTAGTATTTGCTTTAGTTTTCACATTGCTCCATAACTTTGGCCTCAAAAGAGTTTTGTTAATAGCATCAATCTCCGTCTATAATATTGCACTCCAGCACTCCTCTACTTTCTTTAATTTCTGCTGGAATTATGCTACATTAGGTTATTTTATTTTAGATATTTAATATTCTTCCTGACTTTCTCCCCCTTTATCTCAAATTCAATACAATCTAAATCCTACTTTCTGACTAATTTTCACATAGAATAATTATAAAACGTCAATCATGTCTACTGCATAGATATAAAATATCCAAGGGGTTTTTTTAAAATTGTGTGTGTGTGTGTGTGTGTGTGTGTGTGTGTGTGTGTGTACCATCAAATCGGATCTGACTGGTACAGGAGGATATTGTCCCTCCTTCTCCAGCAGAGCATCTGGTAAAATATCGATAGTTTTAAGGGTGGACTTAAAGGTCATCCAAATTTTGCTCAAAATAACTTCCTCGGATTATGTCAAACTACTTTTATTCTCTAGCATGACCTTCTGAAAGGTGGGCTACTTTCCAAAACCTCATACATTGTATATTATCTATTATTTTCTTTATATTGTCATTCAGCCAGAAATTTCCTTCCTCTATTTCACAGGTGTGTAAATATTGTACCAATTCTGTAAATTCTAACACAATATCACCAATTTAATTGTAGCTTTTTTCTGATCCTTCCTCTTATAAAGAACATATAAAGTAGAGTAAGTATACCTTATGGGGAATAATGGCTGATACAGTCTAAAGCAGAGGACATCCAATTCTTTTAAAAACTGGCTTGCCTTCTACTAAAAGCAGAGTTTAAAATGAGACATGTGAGCACCAGCTGAAAAAGACCCGACTCAAAGGTTCTCAGAAGGCTGGAGCCAGGTCTGTAATGAAATTCTCCTGAGAAGGTAAATGTCTGCTGTGTAGCTGAAAACCATTCCAGACAGTATTTCAAATGTGGCATCTTCTAAAAAACAAACAAACAAACAAAAAACCCCAAACACCC